CAAAAAAATACCATTTGTTCATACGACTTTTTTACCTCGTCTGTATTATTACAGCTGCAACCAACATCCAGACTATCAGCAGCACTTTCATTACAAACCCAAGTATTACTCCCCCCACCCAAAAAACAATTAGTCCTAATACAGTAACCACTACTGTGTTCATGCCAGGGACTGATATGATTTCAACAGAAAGTCTGAATTATAGTTACGTCATGAAAACAACATCAACAGAAAGTCAAGCTCAATCTACTACTAAACAGGCTTCTGGCATTACCACGACATCAACTGCTACCACTGTTGCAACAAATCAAGCAGTAAATCCTAGCATCGCAACAACTAACATCTATTCCAGAACAACATTGACTCATGGTATGATAAAGAGTTATTGTATCGTAATGTCCACAAGAGCCAAGACTTTGAAAACTACTAAGAGAACCAGCACTAACATGGCACTCACTACAAGCACAGCAGCCACTATGACACCCACTATCATGACAAAAAGTGCAAACGCACCTACGACAACAGCCACAGCTATAGTGTCAACTACCACCAGTGGTACTTGCAAGACCACAATGGCACCCAGTGAGACCACAATGGAACCCACAATAACACCAAGCAAGACCACAATGGCACACAGTGAGACCACAACGGCACCCAGCATGACCGCAATGGAACCCACAATAACATCAAGAAAGACCACAATAGCACCCAGCATGACAACAACAGCACCCACAATGACACCAAGCGAGACCACAATGGCACCCAACACGACCACAATGGAACCCACAATAACACCAAGCGAGACCATAATGGCTCCCAGTGAGACCACAATGGCACCAACAGTGAAACCTACTGGCACGGACACTACTGCAACTTACGGTGGGCCCGTACCTTCACCAACAGATCCAGGTATACCTGCTCCAATGTCTAATAATGTAGTTCAAAAGCATTACCCATAGATTTGGAAGGAGGTGGAGGTATGAAACAAATTCTGATTTCAACTGGCACTGCTGCGCTTGTGCTCGTGACTTTTGTATTCATCTGCAGCATCATTCTGTTTAAAAGGTTTTATAACAAGTTTCCTTGAGCCTGGTTGATGTTTCATGTTGCCTCGTTATATAGGAAGGACAAGACAAAGATGAAGTCACAGAGTAAGTATCAGGAGTCATCCTCCAAGAGATTGGAGCGGTTAGAGAGACATGAACTGAGGGAAAGGGGCTGGAGAGATGATGATGACAGTGATTATACTTGGCCTTTGTTTACTGATGAGAGTGAGTTTGACTTGACTGCATGAGCAACTGAATAGGTTGTGATAATGTTAATACAGTTCCAGTGAGGAGTGACATTCCAGTCAGTGAGTTTCCAGACTATGTCATTGATATGACAGCGGAAAACCAGCACAACACCTCCAAGTTAGCTATTGAATATCAGGTTGGTAGTATGTACACAAGGAATTGTGGTGTAAAAACGGTCGTTTAAAATGAGTTCAATTTCTGCAGCAACTCAGTAGTGTTCCTACATTGTCCTACGAAGTGGCCTGTCTTCCCCAGAACATAAACCTCAATAGATTCAGGAACATTTACCCATGTGAGAACCAACACATTACCACATTTCTTACAAATTTACCTCCACAATATCAGATGATGATTCGAGAGTGCCTCTGAAGGAGATACCAGGAGAACTGGGATCCGATTACATCAATGCCTCTTTTGTTTCAGTGAGTTCAATAGTTGAATGCGATGTATAGTATGTTAAGTGTTATACTTTCTGCAGGGTTATTGTGGAAATAGATACATAGCAGCACAAGGTACGACTCATCAAAGTTAGGACACCTACTGTATATATAGCTACGACCACCCACAGCTCCACTGAATGAGACAATTGATCATTTCTGGAGGATGGTGTGGGAGTACGAGATTGAAGCCATTGTCATGTTAACCAAATGTGTGGAGATGACAAGAGTAAGTCAACAGTTTGCCCTGATGTCAGTGTGTAGGTCACCAATTGTTCCACAGGAGAAGAGTGCCCAGTACTGGCCTGAGTCACTGTGTGAGACCATCACTCCTGGAGACAGACTCAGTGTCACTCTTTCTTCATCCACACCTTATGCCGAGTACTACGTCCGCAAACTCCTAGTCAAACATGTATGTGATGGTTTCTGCGCCTGTTGCATTTTATTTGCATTTGCTTGATACCATGCTATTCATACTAAGATGTGAGCCATCATGCATAGTATACACAGGTTTGCCTTTTTCTAAGTGTTGTATTGCAGGCCTGTGTACTGAAAGATCTAGTAATTAACTAAAATAGGTGGTAAGAGAGAGAGACCTACCATTGTTATAGCCTCACTGAAAAGCAGTTGTACTGCCTTAATTCCTCAGTAATTCACGTAATATTCGCAAACTCCCTACAGCTGACAGAATCCGACAAGTCAGTGACAGTGACTCAGTTCCACTACACAGCCTGGCCAGATCACGGAGTTCCAGACAATGTCATGGCTGTCATACGGTTCATTTGTCATGTCCGTAAACTGTTCCCTGCTGCCTCCCAAGACCAGCCACTGCTGGTACACTGCAGTGCAGGTGTGGGCCGCACCGGGACTTTCATCACTCTGGATATGATGATGCAGCAGATGAAGGCTGAGGCCACCCTCAGTGTCTGCCAGTGTGTCAGAAATCTGAGAACACAACGTATGAAGATGGTGCAGACTCCGGTAACGACTTATAATTAATGATACTTGTTTATCGTGTGATCGTGTCTAACTCCCTTTCAAGATTCAGTATGAGTTCATTCACCAAGCTCTGAGTGAGCTGGTGGTGTGTGGAGAGACAGAGGTGACTGCCTCCAGTCTCAGGTCCTTCACTGAGTCTCTCAGGGACCCAGTCACTGACTCTGGACCCACTCTCTCACAACAACACCTGAAGGTTTATTCTGGAGCCATGTTTGACAACCATGAGGTTTATTTTGGAAATTCTTACATAGGTGCTGGAATATCTAAGCATGCAGCAAAGGTGTGACTTCACGGGAGCCAAGGCTGAGGCAAACATCAGCAAAAACAGATTCCCAGATAAACTGCCAAGTATGTCGTGTTTGTTGAGACATCGACCATCTTAGGGTGGTTACATTAACAAAAACTGCCACAATTGCTTAGTTCAAGCATTATGATCACATTACGATCAGCACTGACTGCTTGTATAAGCTCTTTTCTGCCATTGATAGGTGAAGTATACAGAGTGTCACTGACAGGCAACTCTGGCTCTGAATACATCAATGCATCCTTCATCAATGTAGGTAGTGTCATGGGTTTTATGGGGTAGGTAGCTAATATCATTCTTGCACAAACTGATTCAGGGCTATAAGCAGAGAGATGCCTACATAGCAACTCAGGGTCCACTGGAGGAAACAGTGGAGGACTTCTGGAGGATGATGTGGGAGTACCAGTGTGGCTGTATCGTGATGCTGTGTCAGCTGAAGGAAGATGGCCAGGTCTGTAGACCAGACATACAGAGAGTGTGTACTGGTGAGTGTGTCATGGACTGCAGGAGAGCAGCTACCCCTACTGGCCAGGTGAGGAGGGAGAGGAGATGGTGTGTGGGAGACTCTCTGTCAGACTAGTCAAGGTCAGAGGTCATGGTGACATCGTGGAGAGGAGGATGGAAGTCAAGGAGAACAAATCAATATATCCTGACATACTCTGTGTCAAGATGATACAGCTAACGAGCTGGCCATTAGAGGGGCTCCCCCACCTTACTGCCATTATGTCACTCATTGATAAGCTCAATCATGTTCTGATGTCCACCTCCTCCAAACAGACTGTGGTCATGTGCAGGTACTGTGAACAGTTAGACTTTATTTGTGCATAAAGATTGTGTCATCCCACCACTCAGTGATGGGGTAGTTCGGAGTGGGACATTCCTGGTCATCCACTCTCAGTTGGAACGTCTGAAGACAGAAGGTGTGGTGGATGTCTTCCAGGCCATCAAGTCTGCTCACATACACAGACCTGGAGTCATACCCAACACTGTAGGTCTCTACTCTGGTTTCAGTGTGACTATTTCTCTTCTTTTAACATGAAGGATCACTATGTCTTCTGTTATGAAGTACTGGCTGACTTTGTGGAGAGGATGGAAGCATACCACAACTTCAAGACTCTTATGTAGCTAGTGAACATAGTTAACATGAATTTTATTTCGGTAGATAATTATGTCAATGTCATGTGCAAAACTTTATATGTAAGTATAGCAGCATATCTGTATTGATAAATTATTCATAAATGGGATGATTGCCTTTGGACTAGAATACCTATATGCAGTGAAACAGTAGCCAATTCTCATCAATATAATGTATAACAATACTCATTGCAAATTGTCTGTGTGTAGTGCACAAACTTTTACATGCACAAATTCTACAGACAGAGTTTCCAACTAAATGGGAATGTGGCATACATCACAGTGTGCATTTTGCACATAAATAAACTTAAGTTGCATAAAACATCATCTACGTCAGTTGATGCCGAGGATGCACTTATGTACAATTTAAGAATATGTAGTATATAGCTAGAGAGAGAGTATATAATACGTCTCTCCATCAGTACTACAATGAGTGTTGTTTATGCTTTTACCGAGTTTAAGTAACTGCCAGTCACAGCCTCAATTTAAACACGACGAATTTGATCTGTCCAACAATTCCTACATCTACTATCCTGATATTGGTGATGGATGCTATGGTCTAAACTGTGTTACTGCTAGTGATAACTGCTGCAATAACTCTATTGTTGGTGGCTGGAGAAATGAGAGTGGGAGACCAGTCTACCAGGAAACAGATGGGACCACTTGTGTGTATGTAATTAGTCTACACCGCAAGAGAGATTGCCATGACCACAAATCAGGACTGTGGAGATGTGATATACCTGGAGAGATGCGGAGCCTCTACATCTACATCAGCAACAATAGGTGATCATATCTATCCTTTCTCTTATATATCATCATAGGACAATTAAACAGGTCAGTATCTATGAACTTCACTCTACACACGGAGCTCAGAGCAAGTGTTCCTGAATTCACTATCTCATGGAGGACCTGCAACAACTGCCCAGTGGACAGTAAATGGAGTCCCAGTGCAGGAAGACGAATATAATGAGACCATCAG